CTGCAACCCCATGACTAGCTCTCTTCTTAATTTTCTAACTGTTAACTCTTACAGAGGAGTAAATGTAGAGCAAAGGCTGGTTTTGAGAATAACAGACTATGAAAGTTATCTTCAAAGTTAAAAATAAATGTCTTCAGATAATCTAAGGATTATCATGTTATGTTATAACCCAAGACCATTAACACATGTTACTAATATTAAGCATGATGGTATAGTTTTCAGTTTATGTATAAAAGATTTCTACAATTTGGACATAAAGCAAAAATTGAAATCATAATAATTTAAAAACCCATGGCAACTTTTCAGTTCTTACTGTACCTGATTAGGACTGAGTATTTGACACCTTACATCCTCCTCTGTTTTTAGAATCACTTTCTTTTTTTGTTTCACATTCTTCTGGGTTGTTCCTCCTCTCTGGCTCCTCCAAGATTCCTCTGCAGGCCACTTTATCTTCTACTGGTGCCTCAAACATTCATGTTCCTTAGATGTTTTCCTGAGCCTTTTCTTATTCCCTGACCTACCTCACTCCTACGGCTTCACCTGTGACCTAGATCCTGATAATTCATGATCTCCAGCCCTTATCTTTCCCCTGGCGTCTGCCCCACACACCCACCTTTTCCCAGACATCTCCGTTAGACCCAGCATCACGTTATATGAATGAACACACTGCCCTCTTTCTCTTTTTTTTTCCTCTACTCTCCAACCCTCCCAGACTTGTTGTTCCTGCAGAGCTGTAAAGGTGGATTGCTAGTAGTCTGAGCAGACTTTCAGGGGTCACTCAGAGGTGGATTTGAATCCCAGCAGCATAATGACCTTGGCCAACCTTGGGAAGAAAAGATATTCTACCTCTTCAAGCCTCCACTTTCTTAGCTGTAAAGTGGAAATGATTGTACCCTAGAAAGAGTTGTTAAGAGAATAAAATGAGAGAATAGTGTATCACCTACCAGAAATCATAACTCTCTACCCAAAATATTTGGGACCAAAGGTTGTTTGGAGTTTGGATTTTTTTTTTTTTTCAGATCTTGGAACATTTACATATAGATAATGAGGTACCTTGGGGTTACAACCTGGGACTAAGCACAAAATTCGTTTATGTTTCTTATACACCTAATATACATAGCCTAAAGGTAATTTGCACAACATGTTTGGTTTTGTGCATGAAACAAAACACTGTGATGTGGAATTCTCCACTTGTGTCATGAAAACATGTTGGATTTGGGAATGTTTCAGATTCTGGATCTTGGATGAGAGATGTTCAAACTATATTTGTTTTTTCCTTGAATGTTTAGGTAGTCTGACCCCGGAACTTGAGCAGTCTTTGAGCCTTCAATTTCTGTTACTGTTGGATGCACTCAGCCTTCAAAGTCCTCCTAAAGCCACTCCTAAAAATGCCTTGGGTCTACACACAGCTCTACTCCCTCTTCAGCACCACTGCCCCATCCTGTCGCTTTCATCTGTTAACCCAGCTGCCTCCTAATTCAGTCCCTTCCTCCTTCCCACTGCCAGCCCAGTCTCCATCCAGCACCGGGGAGACCTTTCAAATAACTTCCCTTCTTAACTGAAAGTTACAAGGCAGAGCTCTTCATTTAATCTGTAAGGTCCTTTTAAACACAGCTTCATTTCTGTGCGAAATTCTAGTTTTAGAACTGAAGTGTAGCAACTGCCGTGTATGTTTTGCAAAATCTTACTGTAAGACTAATTCAAATTTATTATAAGAAATTTGAGAAATTAAGAAACAAAGAAAAAAGCATACCTACAGTCCCACCATTGTCATTGTTTTTTCCTCTGATTTATAATGCATATATTTATACATCTTCAATTAAGTTGAATTTTAGCTTTGTTTGTTGGGATTTTTAAATTTTTTTCAACCCAGGTATATTGTGCGCACCTATAATCCCAGAACTTGGGAGAGTATCAAGAGTGCAAGGCCAAAAAAAATAAATGAAAGATAATCCTTAAAGCATAAATAAATGCGTCCTTATTTATAATAGCAGATCCCATTCATGATATATCTTCACCACTTCTCCCAAATCCCCTCATCTCATTTCCTTTATGCTTGTCTTTATGAGTGGAAATGTTTTATTCCAGTTTTAAAATAGCATAATCATGATCTCATAGCATTATATTGTAAACATCTCAGCTTCACGGTGGCGTTTTAGTGGCGGTAGTGGCTCCCATGTGCTGAGTCATCCCTGTACGTGCAGCGCACGACTGTAAACCTGCAGGGTACCTGTGACTGCTGGGGGTCTGAAAGACATAGAATGTCAGCTAAGTCCCTGCTCTGCCCTCCTCCGTGGAGACCACAGCAAACGGTTATGGGACAGTTGTCAACCAGTCTTCTCTGTTGTTGGGTACTTTTCATTATTACAAATAATGCAGTTGCCGTTTTTGTGTATTAGTCTGTTTGTACACTTCGAATGTTTTCGTAATGAAGGTTATCAGGAGTGCATATTTCAAAATCTTTGACACATGGTGCCAATTGCCTTCCTGAAAGGTTAAACCAATTTACAAGGAGTGATTAATTCTAATGGGACAGAAAGGAGAGGACAGGAATGACATTTCATGGAGGAGGTGACATTTGCGCTGGGTCTTATGGGATGAGCAGCAAGAAGGTGGAGTAGGCAGGACATGGCAGTGGGAAGTCAGCGAGCAGCAGCTCAGAGCCCTGCCTGTTGCCACCTGAAAGCCCGTCATTGCCTTATTTCACAGTTGGCAGGAAGTGTCAGCATGAAGCCAGAGAGGAGTTGAAATTCTAATAGGTGATGCTGCCCTTTTATAAATTTAGAAGTGAAAGCTTTTGTGAAGTTCCATGGCACTTATATGAGTCATTTGCTTGTTTGTTTGTTTCTTTGTTCATTTCCTCAAAGGGGGAAAACCTTCTTAGGATTCAACATAACTAGGAAACTCAGTAAACCTCTCCAGCTCTAATGTTTGCAGGATTCATCATCTCGCACCCTGTAGTTCATCCCACAGAGGAAAAGTCTCCCCACTTGTATGATGTACATCTATTTCCTTATATCTCTTTGGGTAAATGAGACCAAAAGCTATTTTTAAGCTTGGGAGAAGTTCCAGACACTGGGGAGTCACATTCCATAGCAGGTGGGTGCATAAGTAGCCAGATGTCAGCCTTTATCTGAGCTCTGTGCCCTCTTTCCAGACTGAAGCAAGTGCTGAAAGCCAAGGAGAGAGAGAGGAGAAAGGGCACAGGAAGCCGACAGAGCCCCAAGGCTGCCACATACCGCGTCTCATTAATCCTCTCATGGCAGTTCGAAATGCAGTTGGGCCAGTCAGGCATTTCACATCGTATTTTCAAGAAGGCAACCTATAAATTATAAATTAAATTAATAAAATATACCTGGAGCTGTCGAAGTACCTTGGGATAAGTAGAATTTTCCTGTTGCCTCTGATGCGTATACTGCTACTATGCAGATCGGGTCCAGCCAGCATTGGCAATGTTCATAAAGTACGGATTTCACCACCTGAAGGGCTAACTATGAAACAGAATGGAGAGAATTGGAGAGACACGAATTGAATGTTGTTTTCACGTCAACTGTGCTCTTTTGCTTTTAGAAATATGTAATAATGAGATTAGATGAGGTGGTCAAGTAGATGATTTATTAAACAGGGTTTGAGAGACAGCTAAGACATCTTTGCCATTAGCATTAATCCACAGATGTGTTAGAATGGCTTTAGTCGTCCGCCGACAGAGTTGCTCTAGCTGGGCTTGGTCTCCAGTCCTACACAAGTCTCCTCTAAACGGAGCAGACAAGAAGTACATTGCCCCTTGTTAGTAGTGGGGAAGCCTTAAAAGTATCAAAACATTTCCTCTGTATTGAAAGATCGCACAATACTCTCTTCATAGGTATACTTACTACGTATGTGTATTTATGAGGTTTTATGTACAATTTGTATGGTTTTATGTTTCAGATTTGTTTTAAGTTCCTTCCTCCTAAGGTTCATCTTGCAGGCTCTTTTGTTATTTAGGTTATTTTGGAACCCTGATTTTTGTTCCTGCCTTCCTAGTCTTTTCCCTAGACCTAACAAAGGGTTGTGTTTATGTAAGACCGAAGGCTTTGTTCTAAACGCTATTTGTTTATGCTGCTGCTTCTATGAGAGGGAGGTTGGAGCTGGATGTATAAAAAATATGCACACATGCCCTGGCCCATGTGCACAGCCCTCTTCCAGGGGCGACTGCTGACAGATGGGGCACCTCCACACTTGAGGGCCCCATTGCAAAGGGAAGCTCATCGTATCTGTAATAGCTGACTCCCTGAGGACTTCCACCTGGGAATGATGGTGCACACCTCCAACCCAGCACTCTAGGAAGCAAGAGGGTGGCCATTTCAAGCCCACCCTGTGCAACTGAGTGACGTTGCAAGATCCTGTCTCAAAATAAAAAGTGCAAGAGTCTGGGGGGACTATAGTTCAGTCTAGAGACTCTTGGTTTAATCTTTGGTACTAAAAAAAAAAAAAAAATGGTTGCAAGTGGGAGCCGGTGAGAAACCCATTTGTTTCCCTTAAATACTCAAAGCAACTGATCACAAAAATAACTTGCATTTGGCATTAGATCACACTGCTACTAAGATTTCCGTGATGAATTGAATTTTTGTTATATTATTGATGAAGGTGATTTTTTATTCATTGTACCCAGCTTGCAAAGTTTTGTTCTGGACCAAGCCCTTGTGTAATTTGGTGTGCTTCTATAAAGTTTTCCTTTCTCTCCAGACCTTAGCTGTCTTCTTTTTTGTTGTGTTGCAGTTCTTATCACCTAACTCTACCTGTTACCCTAGCCCTTACCTGCCCTTTATCACACAACCTTTTCCCTTCCAGCTCTTTGACGACAGGCCCTGCCTCCCAGCAGGCATGTAACGTGCAAGGCGAATCTCTGGCTGTGCCACATAGAACTGTTGACTGATGAGTATCATAATCAACATCAGGGAACCCCATCCTCATGCCTTACCAAACTCACAAGCATTGGAAATGTGCATCCTTCTCTTCAGGTTTATCAGCTGCGTGGCATCCCCAAGCTTCTGCAGCTGCTCAAAGTTCAGAATGAAGCCATGCAGCAAGCTGTGTGTGGGGCCTTGAGGAACTTGGTGTTTGAAGATAACATCAACAAATTGGAGGTCGCAGAACTAAACGGGGTCCCTCGACTGCTGCAGGTGCTGAAGCAGACCAGAGACTTGGAGACTAAAAAGCAGATTACAGGTAATACTTACCACATATTGAAGGACAGGGCACTGGCACCCCAGCCAGGTGTGTCAGGGCGTGATTTAAATTTCCAGGAACAGACAGACGATCGATGGACTCATTGTTATCCAAAGGGTGGATGTAGAGGAGCCTTGTCATCTGCTGACTTAGAGCCCAGTCTAGCCATGTCTGAATTCGTTTTTCTGAAGAGGAAAATATTCTAACACTTTTGCTCAAATTTTTAAATTAAAAACCCTCTTTGGTTCCACTGCCTGCCTCGCAAGCGCAAGATCCCAAGTTCAATCCCCGGTACCCGCCCCCCAAATCCTCTGGACTACATTTCTTCAAAACTTCTTGAGAAGAGTCACTATATAAAAATTCTGCACACATTCACTAACAGCCAAGTTTATAGTTGGAGAATGTGTGGGTTTTTATGTCATCCTGGTGTCCAAAACATTGTGAAGGAAACCAATAAAAACTACCCCCAGTTATTTTCACTATTTACTCAACAATCATTTCAGTGGATTTGTACAAGGATGGAGAAATGGAGAGTCAAATAGTTATCCAACATAGAGGGCCAATGTAATCATCAGCCAAAGTATAAGAAACTATTTGGTCTCTGTTACACAAATGCTTATTTTTCCATAAAATTCTATCAACAACTGACTTAGAATTCGTATTTTTTTTCTACTTTGATACAGTTTTTCTGTGCTGGGAACTGAACCCAGAGTCTCATACATGTTTGTGCCCTACCATTGAGCTGCATCGCCAGCCTGTCTCTTGCAGCACTTTAACTGTTTTTTGTTTGCTTTTGTTTTTTGGGTTTGCGTTTTTTTTGGTGGGGGGTTGTTGTTTGTTTGTTTTGGCTTTTTGAGACAGGGTCTCACTATCTAGTTGAGACTGACCTGGAACTCACTGTGTAGCCCAGGCTGGTCTCAAACACAGTGATCCCCCTGCCTCAGCCTCCCGAGTGCTGGGATTACAGGTGTGCGCCACCTCACCCAGCTTGCATTTTAATTGTATACAGCGATACAAAGGGTTGCGCCATTCTACCCTTCTGCCAGCATGCTGTTTGCCGCACGAGTGATTTCCTTTTATATTCATTATGTGAAAACCTCTGTAGAAACTAGAATGATCTCAACCATTGAGCTAATATTCAGAGCAGCTCTCAGGTATCAGGCACTGAGAATCACATCCCAAGAAGGTTGTCAATTTTGTTTTTCCATCTACTGAAGATGAAAGATTATGTGCTGGCTGGCTGGCCTACGTCAAAACAAAAGACTGAACCTCACTTTTTTTTTCCAGTACCAAGGCTTGAACTGAGGACCTCACACTTGTGAGGCAGGTGCGGTGCCACTGAGCTAAATCCCCAGCTGAACCTCACATTTAGAGCCCAACATTTTCCTCATTAAAATGTAATGGTGAACCACAAGAGAGCCTCAGACAGATGATTCTGATGTTTTACAGTAAGAAAAATTTCCATGAAGGAAGGCTGTCTCATCATAGGATGTAGCTCATTGGTAGAGCACTAGCCCAGCATGCATGGAGCCATGGGTTCCAGCACCACCAGGAAACAAACAAACAAAAAGATAGGACAGAGCTGGGAATTTAGCTCAGTGGTTCCTTCCACTGCCTGCCTCGCAGGGACTCGAGTTCTATCCCCAGTACCGAAAGAAAAAAAAAAAGATAAGACAGGTTTTAGATTGATGTTTCAGAGGACCCTAAGAGTTATTCCTGACAAAGTGAACACTACTAGAAAACAAAGAGGTGGAAAGAAGCTGCTGGTCCTGTAGAAGAAACCTGGAAAATGCAGTGACCGGAGTTAGAGCACAGAAACTTAGAAAGCATAGGGGTGGAGCTTGCCTCCTTTTCCATACAGACGGTAGGAAACATTCTGTGAAACTGGTGCCATGGAAACCACCCGGGAATCACTAGATAATCTATAGAATTGATAAATGAGGTTATATTGTGCAGAACCCAGATCTCTACTATAAGCCAAATTCCCTACTGATGGGTTCTCATTATGTGTTCATTGAACTGAAATGATACTTGGACATTTGATACAAATACTTCTAAATTATTCCCTTTAGCTCTGAAAATAAAAGAGCTAAATAAATGCTTTCTGGTTCTCAGAAATAATTGTAGATATAATAAAAACACCTTTCTATCTTTGTTTAGAAACACAAAATGAGTAACCATATATGCATATCTTTTTTTTTTTAATCAGTCTATTTCTTAGACTTTTGATTGGGCCTGCAGTACAATCACTAAGCTAGGGCTATTTTCATGTGTTTCTCCTGCCAGCCATATATAGGGTGGGGGTGTAATTGATTTTTAACATAGGATCTGTGTGAGGCTCAGAAATGTGAAGTAAATCACACAAGGTCACACAAGTAGTAAGGAGGGGCGGGGATTTAGCTCAGTGGTTCCACTGCTTGCCTCATGAGCACAAGGTCCAGAGTCCAATCCCTGGTACCCACCCCCAATCCAAGTAGCAAGGAGGTAGGCGCAGGTATGAAGCCAGTTTCATCTGTGAATTTTACCTCCGTTGTTTGACACACATGGTGATCCATTTTTATATGTCTTTAGGAAGTGGCTAGCTTTGAGCCTCTTAGATCAGAAAGCTCTGTCCACCTCCTCTTTGACCCTTCTTTCTCTCCTGCCTCTGCTTTGTCTCATCTGGCCTCTCTGACTCACTGTAGCACCTCACCAGTCTATCCTCTGCTCTGCTTCTAGAGATTTCTTTGCCAAATGAAAACACTGCTCCTTTATTCTCCTCACCACCCGCAAGATAAAGTCCATACCCTGTGACATCTCACACAAAGGTTTTATGGTGTGAATCTGATGACTGTCATCAGCAGTCTCCTCTTACATTCTTCCAGCCCAGGTTCTGAAACCCTAAAGGTCATGCTGGCCTGGCCCGAGGCTGGCTTCTCTCATGATGTCATCCTCTCTGGAGAATTCTCTTACTCTTCAACAGCTGATGCAAATTCACTTTTGTGAAGCATTTCAAGCACCAGCCTTCCATTACTTATCCCCATCAGCAGAATTATGAAGGAAGAGGCTTTCCTGAAAGGTGACCTTTACACTGTTTGATGCGAGGTCACCATATGCCTGGTGTCTGTACATTGAATTGTGTGCAGGTTCGTTTCTCAAAAACAGTGGGTGGCTGGTATTCCTGGAAAGATTTACAAAACATAGCTAACTAGTAAAACGACCTTACGATATTCAAAGCTGTGTTTGATGAATATTGCCCTCTAGGACAGGAAATACAGTTATTTAAATCTGCTGTAACTCTTAGGTAGAAAAACTTGCAAAGTTTATATTAAATTATTTCCTGTTTTCACTGAAGAATGAGGAGGAAATGACAATACTGAGAGAACTGGTTCTTTATAACCTTGCTTTTCAAAATATTCCCAACTGCAGGAAGAATCTGTGGCCCAGGACTATGTGATTCTAATTTGTCCTTGGGTTCCTTTGGAAAATGCTAGTCTAATACTAATTTCTTTTTTTTTGTTCCGGGGCATTGAACTCAGGTCCTTGCGCTTGCGAGGCAGTCGCCAGAACCACTGAGCTAAATCTCCGGATGTAATACTAATTTCAGAATAAATCTTTGTCAGCATTTTGGTGAGGAAGGAACTTGTTTCTCTCCTCCCAAGTGATAGAGCCAGGTCCTCCATGTAGATCTTTCTGTTTTCTTGAAAAGGAGCTTTCCTTAGAATTCTTTTGTCCTGGTTGCACCTCCCAGGGTCACAGAAAATGATGTCTAGCTGTTTACATTTGTCTTTCTTCAGTTACTAAAAAAATCCTCACAGTCCTATTTTATTAACCCTGATATCTTTTGGCTTTGTGTTAAACACTCTCCCTACTTTTTACTAGTATTTCAGCCTTTAATGGTTTATAATAACATTCTATATGAAGTGTGTTCACCGCTTTGTCTCATAATGTTGTACATAATCATCCCAGTTGGTAGTTGGTTACTTACTGATTTTTGTATGTGTGTACAAGTATATAGAAAACCCCTAAAGTGCTACTAAATATTTTAGCTTCATGCCACCTAGATATTTGGGGGCCATCACATTTCTATATAATTTCCTACATTAAAATGGAAAAATCATACCAAACTATGTGTGTCTGTAGAAATAATACACCCCAACAGACTAAAGGATACTGACTGCTGCAGGAAAATTCTATTCCATTTGTTCAAATTAATCCTCCCTGGCTTTTATTGTGAGGCGTGGTTTTCTTTGAGTACCCTGTGTGGTCCTTTTAAAAAGAAGAAATGTCATTATGCTTTACATTTTGAAGCCTCTGGCAGGCAGACTTAATTTGTTTGTGCTTGTTTAGAACTCAGAAAGCTCTTTCTCCTCCTTCTCCTCCTTTTTGCTTTCTAACTTTTTCTGTAGCTTAGTAACCAGACTTCAACTTTAGACTGGCTTTTACATCGTCTTCAACCACCTTCTGAGTTGTTCTCTCTATGTCCCCCGCCCAGGGCCTTGAAAGATGAAGTGGGTGGAATTAAGCCATTGTGTTGCAAAACCTGTGGTTGCGGGAGACTGCTCCTGACTCCAAAAATGAGTTTGATAGGGAAGGGGCCGGAAATCTGTCTGTGTCTAATGAGAACGATGTGTAGGCTGCGGTGGATTTGGGGTCACTGTTTCAGAAGCCAGTGACTCATGCACAACCAAAGCAAACGATGGAAGCCCAAAAGAGTACAGTAGGCTTATAGGGCCGGGGATTTGGCACAATGGTTCTGCCGCCTGCCTTGCAAGTACAAGGGTCCATGTTCGATCCCCAGTAGCAAAAAAAAAAAAAAAAAAAAAAA